CAACAGCCGGTGGCTTGTATGGAGCTGGATACGTCCCCATCACAAACTACGCTGCCAACACAGCAGCTCTGGCTGCTCTGCAGAAGAATGCAGCGGTGGCAGCTGCAGCATATGGAGGCTACACCGGTTACGCTGTGCCACAGGCCTTTCCCGCCACGGCCTTCCAGCTGCCCATCCACGATGTCTACCAGACATACTGATTCTGAGGCTCAGGCCACATGAAATAACGACAAGTTTTCCTGTCTGTGACTTAACGACCACTGCAACATCTCAGAAGTGCCCGTCTCATCGTATAGAAACATCTCTTAAGCTTGTGAACCTCCAAGAGCTCTGAAGGAATGAAGCAAATGTTCAGAACACAGACAGTGACAAAAAGACATCTCATATCTGTCACACATACTGGCCTCAGTGCAGCCTGGACCCAAGGCCGTATGACACGCTTAATAATGCAGCACCACTGTTTTCTACTGAATATCATAACACACATAGAAGACACTCCACCCACTGAGGAAACCTGCCCGTATGTGGTGACAATGATGTCCCCCAACAATCAGCATAACTCATAATTACAACACAAACACAACCCCCATTTTCTCTGACCCTCTCCACCTTGTTGCCATGGCAACGGGAACACTGAAGGTACATTCAAGTATTTATGAAGAGAAGATACATATTTAAGGTTTTATTCTATGCAGGTCTTTTTATTTTGTGGGTCGTATTTGTTTTCTGAAGCAGGAGAGATAGACCTTTACACTATGTCTAAAAAAAATTAAGAAAGTGTAAAAACCTGTGATTGGGTGGGATTCGGGGAAAGAGAAAAGTTAATTGAAAGGAAGTAAAAATACAACAGGAACTACTGACAAATGAGGATACCACTGAAGACAGTTGTCTTTGGATATACTAATGTTTTTTTAGTATATTTTTTTTCATTAATATATAGTATTCTACACAATGCTACACACTGTAGGTGATGCTGTCCGTCCATGCTGGTTGAATGTGTATGCTTCAAAAACACCTGTTTGGTACTTTTTGGTTCATTTAGTTTTATTTGTGTTTTGGTTGTTTTTAATGACGGTTGTAAGTGTTTTTGTTTTTTTTTTGTTGTTTTTTTGCCTACAATTAGTTTGCTTGTTTTTATGTCTCCACTTTAACTTTTGAAAACATATAGTATATCATGGTTTGTTTGAAGAAAAGTAGCCAACTTACTAATATTATTGTGACAGATTCCCTGGGGAACAAATACTAGAGAAAGAAGCTTGAAGGCTTTTTGAGTTATTTGCTACATGGTTTATCTACAAGCCTTTTGGAAAGTAACATCATGTACACGGAGATGTTTCCCATCCTCTGAAACTGCGCTGGCAGGGGACTAAGACTGAACAGATATTAGTTGTTTTTGCTCATTTGTGTATGTTTTTATTATTGTTTTTTTGAATTGCTTGACTTTTGAAAGGTGAACAAATATGGACAGTGATGAGAGACATTTTTCTGTATGGACTGGAGCACTCTGTCTCATAAAGTGCTCCTGCATTTGCCAGTGCTAACCAAAAATTTATGGCTACGTACACTCCAGTCTCATGACATCAGAAAACTTCTCTGGGCCTGACTACAGGGCCTTACATCTGCGTGCATGTGCTACTCTATGCCTTTCACTGTGCCTTTCATAACAAAACACCGAGAGGAAACGACTTCCATCTGTGCATAGCACCGGAGTCTTCTCCGTTCATATAACTAATGAACCAGATTTCTGCTATCACTGTGTTTTGGTGAGACGTGTAGGTTTCAGTCTCTGCAGTCAGATGTGACAAGGCTACCTCTCTCCTGTAGTCTCCTCTCTGATCGATCCTGCAGTAACACTCCATATGTTTGTCTGCTCTCCATTTCTTGTCCTCAGAACTGTGCTTGACCGAGGTGCACTTAAACGTATTTATGACAGGCAAGAGATTTGCCACTTTCAGATGAAGAGATATTAAATACTGAGCATGAATTCATGTGTGAACTGGGCTAGTTGGCATTTTTTTTTCAATTTCTATGTGTCTGACAGAGTTTTTCCACGCAGTTAAAGCATAAAAGATAAACAATAGAATAACCCTTATGAATGTTTAGTAGGCACTTTTAAAACTCTGCAGTGTGTTGATGGTGTAAAATTGAACTGGAATAACTGGAGCAATACCTCATGCTGATATAAACAAGTAGCTATACATGTATTTACTACAACACAAACCGCAAGCAGCTGTTGATCATGAAGTCACACTCCACAATGGCCACAACAGACAAAGCATTTGTGTGCTGGTTTGTATTTCTCAACCACTTCTATTAGTTTCAATTCTTGCAATCCAACTTTTTTTTCATTCACTGCATTTGAGGAGATTTCATTTGCTAATTTTCTATCAACTCTTCAGATTTTTAATCACATTTTACACACAAAGTAATATGATGAGTTTGACTTTGATGATGGCCTGTATTTTGAGGTTGTGAAAAAGATCAAGACTAAGTTATTGATCCAAGAAGAATAGTTTGATCATCCACAGCAAACAAGTCGCATTTGTTTCATCTCCCTCTACATTTTGCTACTCATCTCCCCTTGGAAACTGGATTTCATTTAGAAAGCAAACTGCTGTCAAACTGCTTTTATTATTTTCTTGTATGATGACAATAAGTCAGGATATATTTAATATATGCATTACATGTGTTGTCTATGAAGTGAGAAGAAAAGGTATAATATATTGTAAAACATATTTCTTTTCTTTATTTACACCTTGTTTTAGGGATAAAAAAAGTCAGAGTAACAAAAGTAGAAAAAAAAAACTCTTTTTTGCCAAAGTGTCCAATAGTTTTTAAACATTCAAGGTTCATGTGTTTTTTCTTATGTGTAATATTATGTTGTTGTTGCTGTTTTGAACCAGATTTGGTGTGATGAGTGGGAACACAAAGGCCATCTCTTTCTGCTTCAAATTGTCAACCAAGACTAAAACTGGCTGATGGAAGCGTGATGACCCGCTGGCACTCTGAGCTCATGGTGTCGAAACTCTGCTTGTCAGTTTTGATGAAACTATTAAAGGTCTCATCGTGATTTAAGAGCCCTGTGTTAGACAGCAGACAAGTGTGTCCTTCTGGTTCTGCCTCCCACTCAAAACACCTGCTTCACTTTCTATTGTCTGCATTTCACCCACACTACAGCAGGAGGAGTTCCTCCTCCTGCTCCTTGTGTCATTGGTGTGGAGCTGCATATGCCTAGTTTAATATAGGTGTTACCATTTAAACTCTTTCTAGTGTGTGCCTTATTGCCAAGATGTGCCCTTTGCCATTCCTTTGTAGACCTATGCAGACTATTTTCTATCTGAAGGTTTGTTTAAAAAAAAAAAAAAAAAAGCTTGTTCGGCATTGTTATATTTATAGTGTTAAAGTAGATAAATAAAGCATTTTCAAAAGGATGCAATGTTATGCTGTGTTATTCATTTGTCTCTCTATGTATTTCCCTGCGTGCCAAACCATGTAAACTTGACTTAGTTTTAGATTAAACTGCATAGCTGTGAAAGTGCTAAAAAGGGTCAGTAGTTACTTGAAAGGTTCAGAAGTAGAGGACTTTGACTCTGACCTCTGTGAATGGAAACCCATCCCTGACCTCATACATCAGCTATTATTAAGCAATGTGTCATGGTGGAGAAAGCAGAGGCAGCACCGTGTTTGGAGAATGTTTCATAAACTTCTCTGTGGCGGGTCAACTTTACTCTAGAAACATGTTGTGCCCCGGCGAGGAGTTCAGGGAGGATTTTAAGAACATAAGTAGCCTTCATCATGCAGTACAACATGTACAAGAAGGCAATCACAAGTACATCGTTTTTTTGTTTTGTACAATGTCACCACCTTTTAGCTAACTGATCACGTTTTACCATGAAAATGTGGTGACAGGTTGCAGGAAAAGCAACAACCTAATACATTAGGGATGGGCAGATTGATACCTAAAGTGACATCAGTAGGGCTGACACTAAAAACTGTAACAATCTCAAGTTAGATCATGTTTTGGGCACATGAACATGTTTCTTCATGCACTCTCTGCTTCTGCTGCTGCAGTGTGCATGTGCATAATGATCTCTTCAGTAGTTCAGAAAGTTCCCACAACAAATATTTGTTATTTGCCATTCATAACTTTCTAATATTTTAATAAATAGATAGATAAAATAATAAAGTAAAAAATGTATTCAGAAGTAGCAGACTAATGGTGCCTTCCTACGTTCCCTTCCATTCCCTTCCTTACCCAACAAGAATTTAGTATTACAAAAATATTGGTATCAATATCGGTTATTCTGTTATTGGGTTACTGCCCACATGCTGGTTTGTGTTTGAGTTGTGTGTTCATGATAAGTGTATGATTAATAAATGCTTCACAGACTCTGTCAAACCACTGGAAAGAGTGAGTTTATTTCCCAGAAATATTATCTCCAACATGCTGCCATAATAAACACATCCCCATACCACACCTACTTTTATCATTTTAAATAGTGGCAGGAGCAAGTTAAATTTTAAACCTAGCTGGATACCCCAGTGCTGTTTGAAGGAACTAGTGTATCATTTAGGATAATATTGCCATCTGGTGGCAAACGCAATTTATCAGAGCAGCCTGCAGCAGAGCTAATATCCAGGATTTTAAGTGGCAGCCATGTTAGCTCCACAGTCGTAAACGCAGAGTATTGCGGGAAACATAAACCACACTTAATATTACTTGAAGTTCAGATAGAAATTCAACACGTGCAGAGGGAATATATTTACCATACAGCAAGTGTTGAGAAAAATAGAATTTATTAATTTAATTAGCACAGAACACAAAAATACTGTAGGAATAAAATACAATGAGAATAGTGATTTCATTCCGTTCTATGTGTGACAGGAAAAATATTCTGCATGTAGGCTATGGAACATTCTTCCATATTTACACTAATATTATATTACTTACTGTTATTTATTGTGAAAAAATATATTGCTAATTCTATGCAGGAGAATTTTTTAAATTCTCATTTTGTATCCCAAAGCGGTAAAGACACGAGAAAAACGGGAGAAATATCCTTGAAACAAAATCCAAGCGCTGTTGATCTGACTTTCACTACAGTTCCCATGATGCCCCGGCAGCCATCCGTATGCGCGCTGCCTTTGCACGGCTGTTGCTGCCTTTGCAGATTTATAAACAATGCCGCTAGGTCTAGTCGATCTGCAAAAGGCACAGAGGGAAATCCAGATGATTGTAGCAGCTGCTAAAATGCGTCTCCGCTCCTGAATGTAACCCCGGTTTATATTTGGCTTAAAGGAGACGCAACAAAGCGCACAAAATGGTTGTGCACCAGGCCCGGGCGAATAAGTAGGTTTACTATAGCTTTAAGAACGCGAAAATAGTGTCTGCTTCTTTAAAATTATATCGGTTTATTAATGAATAGATAATTAAGAAAAGTTTTCAATTTCTAATCAATAAATATATGCATTTAATTTGCGACGAACTCAGCGCACTGACGGAAAATGTCCCACTGTTGGATAAAGGCCGCTTGCCATCAAAACGTCTTTAAACCAGATGTGGTCCGTTTTTCCTCTAATTGCAAGTAAACCTGCTTGACTTTGAGCGGAATTTGAGGTAGGCAGAAGTGTCCTCACGGTGATGGAACCGGTCGGCGACCGAACCGGAGATGTAAATACAGGTGAAGAATCGGCGGAGGACAAGGCCGCAGATCAGACCCCGGCCACCAGTACGACCGTTACACCGCGGAGGGGGCTCAGAGAGCGGGGAGCGGGCCGCCCGAGGTCCGGCGTCTCCGCTTCGTTAACGGACGTTAACGGAGCAGCATCGAGCCCGCAGAGCTCGGGACGGGTTCTCAGAGACAGGTCAACGAGGGCAGTACCGGCCTGGCTGAAGGACACCAAGAGCGACGACGAAGACGAACCGAGCCAGGACACCGGCGCGACCAAGCGGAGGAAAGTTTCCAACTCCAGGCGGAAGAAAATTTCAGAATCTGCGGGTTTGGCAGAGGCTGAAGGGGGGGTCGCAGGTGACAGCCTTCAAGGCACAGAGTAAGTTTTTAATTGCGTAACCCGAGATAGAAAGAGCACTACATTTGTTTATGATGAGCCTGTCTACACTTTTAACGTGTGTGTTAATGACGGTGGGGTCAGTTCCTGTCAAAAGCACGCCTTCAGCATAGCTCGTCCCCTTTCTGCTGTTCTGTATAGGGAGGGTGGAGTGAAACTTACCTGGCTTCGAAATTTGTCATATTTTATTCAGTGCTACAACTTTTTAATGCATGTGATGAATGATGGCATGTCGCTCTGCAGGTAGAGAAAATGTCACATCTCAGTGTTTTTTTTCTCATTTGCGCAGCTCTGAGAACCTCAAGAAACCTGCTACAGATGCTCAAGGTAATTAGAAAATTGTTATATAAGAGCCTCTTGATATATGTGGTATGCCTTTTACTAAGTTTACATTTAAATTAAATGTCATTCTATGCTATTGGATTACTGCGTATTTCAAACCCTGTGTCATGCATGTATTATACTTGATGGCAAACAGTATGTTTGATGGCATGCCTCTGCTGCCTCTCTCCAGCTCTTCCCTCTAGACGCCCCCCAGCCCAGACTCGTGCCAAGCCCCCTTCTGGCAGGGCCAGTCGCAGCTCTGCCAAGCCTGTGTGTAAGACCGAACCTGGAATGGAGAATCCAGCTGGTGAGCAACCTGTTGACAATGAGCCTGTAATTCACAAATCAAATCATACACACACAGAGACACTGAAATACCATGCTGACTACTGTTCTTGAGGTTGGTTATTCTTTAGAAATTTAGAAAATTGTCAGTGAAATCAGGTTCTTGTTTTCTAATTATGGAATGGTTGTCATTATGGATTTTCAGTCTAACTAATGGCATCATTGCTGCTTTTTTTTAGTTGAAAATTTAGGTGCAAACCTCTCCTCATCCCTCCTTACTACTTAAGATAATTGTTTGTTTTATGCATTCATGCTTTTTCCTTTTTGCATCATTTACAGTAGTTGCCTTGCTTAACCTCTTGACATCTTTCTTTTTCTGTATGTCATGCAGCAGTGGAAGGAGAGGTGAACAATAAAGAGAAGTATGACATGTATGTATTTTTGGCCCTTTGGGTAAAGCATGATATGAACATTGCAAGCATTAAAGTTCATTGCTGAAGTTGTATTTTTTTGGTGTTGTATGGTTTAAGTATATATTAAAGAATTCGTTAATCCAAATTCACAAGGTCTCATTTATTTTATTCCTCATGGTATCAAGCCATGCAGATACTTTTTTTTAACAGTTTTATTAAGAAGTTATCTGGGAAAATATGTTTCTTATGATATGGGTGAACTTACCCTTTTAAAGATGTGATTATGTTGGATTTTATCACATCTTTGACACAAATTTACAGGCCGTTAGGCTGAAAAATATAGCACAGATATATATTTACTTGGTCTGATTTTGTGGGTCAGCATCATTTTAAAAAATATATTAAAAAAGAATGGTATATGCATTATCTTTAACAATAGAGAAGCTGAATATCATATATTGTAAGCATATATCTTGTTCTGATAGTTCTAATCCGCTGGTCTCATGGTTTTTTACTGTCTTGTATATTGTGAAAGTGTGTGCCTGATTAATGGTGTGTTTTCATGACTGCTATGTTTCAGTAAAAAAAAAGAGGAGGAAAGCGTAAATGTTGCTGACCCAGTCTTGGATGATGAAGACCCTCCATTTCAGGATGACCCTAACGACCTCAACTACCAGCCACAGAGTCAGAGGTAAACTTTTCTGAAGTGCATCACTTGATCCCCTGCAGAAAGTGTAAAATCCTGTCTCAAGTCTTGATTGTTTTGCTTTCAGCGGTGCAGAGGAGGAAGAGGGCCTCAGCAGTGACGAAGATGTTCCTTTTAGAGATGACTTAAATGACCAGAGCTACGACCCGAAGGGTGAAAGGTGTGTGTGTGTGTGTGGGAGGGGTTCAGATTGCACCTCTGTTTGCATTAGATGTGGATATCTCCATGCTCAGACATGATTAGACATAGGTGCCATGTTTTTTGGGTTTTTTTTTTTCGTAACTGGATATTTCTCTGTTTTTCTTCTTAGGGATGCCCCGAAACCAAAGCGTAGAGCTCCTCTTAGACAGAAGGAGAAGAAAGAAAAAGATAAGGCACCTAAAAAAGAGAAAGAGGTCGCTGAGATAAAGATAGAAGGTTCGGACAATTTGGAGAGTGTGGAAGAGGAAGTAAAGCTAGAAGAAGAAATTGTGGAGGACCCGGATGGACCCAGGAAGTAAGCACAGTACCACTCAATGTGTATACAGTTATCAGTTGGACAGATTCACATTCCTTTTATGTCTAATGTTAAGCATTTTTTCTAACTGTGACTATATTATTACAGGTTCAGTCTGAACATAATGTGTGTTGTTCTTGTTTATATGGTTACAAAGCAAACTCCTTTTCAAAGTGGATTTGTATTCACGATATAAAATGGCTCTGACTTTCAATTGCAACTCAATAACATAATTTTGTTTGTTCACTGTGTGTCAGGAGAGGCCGGCGGAAAAAAGATGACAAAACCCCACGGTTGCCAAAGAGAAGGTAAAATTTATGTCTTTATTGGGTCATTATAATCTCAAATTCAAATAATATATTTTCATGGATTATCATCCAGAAATTTAAGGATATGATAGTGATTGAAGACTGACATAATTTTCAATGGACATGTTAATATGTGTATATGTGGTCCATCACAGTGAAGATGTGGAGATTCATTAAAATATTTGATATTGTAACATTACAGTGACATATGCTTCACCCACACAGAAAGAAGCCCCCAGTGCAATATGTGCGCTGTGAAATGGAAGGATGTGGGACGGTCCTAGCTCATCCTCGCTACCTACAGGTTTGTCTCAGCAACTACACAATTCCACTGAGGATTGTTTACATCTGTCACAGGGTCAAATACAGTTAACGGAAATGTATTTCAAACTCTGCTTAAATTTTTCACATATTTCAAACATCAATAGTAGTGATGTGAAAGAAAATAAAGACAAATATTTAATGTCCATCACATTTTCCCAGAGTCCTAAGTTCTGTCTTAAAATTACTTGATAAAATTTCTGTTGATAGACTAATTGATTAATTGTTTCAGCACTAAAAGGGGTCCAAGTTGAATTCCTGGTGAATTGTTTTGTCAATATCAATAGCTGAGGGGAACTAAACTTGGATCCAAGGTGTTTGACATTAGCACAGTTCTGAAGGGAATTATCAGTTTTGCAAAACATGTTCAGATACGTTCCAATAATCATTTCCACTTTATTGACAATTTGACCATACATGCCTTTATCATTCCTGATAACAAAACCTCATTCACCATGACACACTCCATCCAACTGAGTCTGATATACCGTTCTGCATTTTCTCTGTTTTCCACAACAGCACCATATAAAATACCAGCACTTACTCAAGAAGAAATATGTATGTCCTCACCCGTCCTGTGGAAGGCTTTTCCGCCTACAGAAGCAGCTTCTGCGTCATGCAAAGCACCACACAGGTACACATATGCGCATACATACAGCATGTATTAGGTTTGATCTGTTTGACCATTTCTCCCTATAATTAATAATGAAAGTACATGAAAACACATCTATATTTGAGTGTTTTATGATTCTAGACCAGAGAGACTACATTTGCGAGTTCTGTGCTCGTGCCTTCAAGAGCTCCCACAACCTGGCTGTGCACCGCATGATCCACACAGGAGAGAAGCCCCTACAGTAAGTACTTCCCTGTTCCCAATTTTTGATCATTTGCTCTCTTAATTTAGACATTTATTCATTTCGTAAAGTTAAACTAGATCACTAAAAAAAACATTTCCTCTCAATTTTCTATTCTTCTATGAATAGGTGTGAGATCTGTGGCTTCACCTGTCGCCAGAAGGCGTCTCTCAACTGGCACATGAAGAAGCACGATGCTGATGCCACCTATCAGTTCTCCTGCTCCATTTGTGGTAAGAAGTTTGAGAAGAAGGACTGTGTTGTGGCCCATAAGGCTAAGAGTCACCCTGAGGTGCTAATCGCTGAGGCGCTGGCAGCCAACGCTGGCGCCCTCATCACAACCCCTGCCTCCCTGCTGGAGCTGCCGGGAAACCCCATGCAAGCAGAGGTCACCAACTTGGACGTGAGCCAGGTAGGGCAGGATGGGCAGGTGGACCAGCTGAGCCAGGAAGGGCAGGTTGGGCAGCAAGTGGCTCAGGTGTCCCAAATGGGTCATGTGGCCCAACAGGTGAGTCACCAGGTGGTTTTACTGGGACAAGACCAGAGCCTCCATACCATGCAGGTGCCAGTGACGATTGCTCTGTCCCCTATCGACCCCCCTTCACCGGCTGACAACCAGCAGCAGACTCACCTCCAGCTGCAGATGCCCGTCCAGTTTGTGCAGGCCGCTCAGCAGCCACAACAGCCTCAAATCCAACAACTGACCCTCCATTCCAGCTCAGTGGTGACGCAGCACCGACCCCAGCTCCAGCCTCTTCAGTCGTATTCCTCCCAGCAACAGAGCCAGGGGCAGACACAAATCCTGCAAATGACCTTCCAGCCGGTCAGCCAGTCCCAGACCCACATTCAGCAGATCCCAATCCTAGCGACCTCTCATCAACTTCAGACCCTGCAGACAGCCGCTCCGAGCCCCCCTCTACTGTCCCCATCCCAGCCTCAGTCCCAGGATCCAGCCTCCACCAACGGGGACAGCTTTATTCTGGACAATCCCGTGCTCACTTCCTCCTCTCCATCAGCCAACTCCCTCCAGCATACAGAGGCTGGGGGGGAGGACGGCGTGGTCTGGGAGCAAACAGGCCATGGGGAAGTTCTGGCTGACGGCACTGAGAGACATGTGCAGCAGGCCCTCATGTAACATGAGGATGGAGCACACAAAGAAGAAAATAGAGGAAGATTATGTCACCAGTGACCTAATATTACTGTATTGCAATGTTTGAGGTAAATGTAGGATCACCAATATATTATGTACTGTTCACTCATAGTCATATTTGGTAGTTTTTTTTAGAATATCTGTATCAGGGAAAGATATGTATGTGTCTGTATGTGTAAGTTGTTGCCTTTGTACATAACAGTCCTGTAAACTTAACTAGCCTTTTATGTGAGTGTGTGTATTGATGCTGAGGTAATGCTGCAGAGATGTTGCTATTATGCAATAATATAGCATACCTCTTAGTAATATACAGCACATCCAATGCCAGGTGTGTCGCAAGTTCCTACTGGAATAAATCAAATTAATTTATATAATGAATTAAACATAAAACACTTGTTAGAAAGCTATAAACATCCACAATATGTGTGGGGTGAGTAAAATCTGTTTCAGCAAATAGACAGTCGTTTTTCATTTATTGTCCAGATCAACTAAAAAACATTCACTCGAGGTCAAAGCACACTCTGAATTCACAAATAAAGATTAAACATTTAAAAACCTGGGAAAGTATAGAGAGGAAAAAGGTGTTTCACAGGCCTGTAAAAAGTCACAAAATATGCATATTTTAGAGATCTGGGCAATGTCATTAAACCTGTTCCAATGATATTTGTGCAGCTGTTTGTTAAGCCTTGCTGTTAATTGACTTTGAAGGAATAATAGCCCGTATAATGTAGTCTTAGGTCAATGTAGGTAGGCAAAAGGTGGCCTTGGACATTTTAAATCCCACATAAACCCTCAAAAAACAGCAAGCCCAGTCAATGATTTAGACAGTTAAACTCAAAACTTGTCTATAATCTTTACCTTGGAAACCGCTCTGATCTGTGAAATAGGATGTGTGGTAGCACTAAAAACAAAAACTGTTCATTTATATGATGTAAATAAATGTCTTAACATTTATCCAAAGTGTTTTCATTGACAGTTGGAGGACATCCTTCTGGGGGGAAAACCCAAAGCATCACAGAATTCTTTCTTTCCATTCAGTTCGGGCAGCTACAGATTAATTGGTGGCGTGGTCAGCCGTTACTGGTAAGGTTGGTGGTTCAGTCCTCAGCTCCTCCTGTCCACACCACAAATGGCTCTTGATGTGTGTATGTGAGGAATACAAATGTAAGTTGCTGCCAGCAGTAATGTACCCATAGGCCTGAGTTATTGATTTATCCTACAATGGACAGTAGACAATTTCTACAGACTGATACAGAGAACATATTTCACCTGCACTACATACTATTGCTTTATGAGAGCACAGTGTTACAGCTCAGGAAACATCCATCAGGACATATTAATCCGCTCTCTGTCCCTTTGCATGGCATACTGCTTCATAGCTCGTTTAGGAGGAATCAAGGTGTTACTCAGTCCAACCCTCCTCTTCTTCACTTGCTGCCCTCCTGACTCTTCCTCCTCTGAGATGTTCTGGGATCCTGCACCACAGGAGCCACCTGCATGGGGCTCAACGTGTTCTGAAGCTGGTGCAGCCTCATCACTTACAGGTGGATGACAGTCAGTGGGAGTGACTGGGGTCTGGAGGTCACTGTCATGAGCAAACTTGCATTTGATCCCAAACCTGCACCTTCCGTCCTTCCTGTATGACACACACACCCTTTTACCTCCTATCTGGGTGGGTTTAGCCTGCATTGTTAAGGGGACATGTTTCTGTAAGGCGCTGAGCTTCTGGTCAGCTTGAGCCTTGAAAGGGTTGGCAAACACACTGCTGTCAGAGCAGGCATTTAGAGGAGGAGGAGGCAGTTTATTAGGGGTGAGTGAACCCAGGGAAGGTGCAGGCAGTGTGGGCTGACAGGCTGCAGATGATGCTGGTGCCAGGGGGTGTGGTGGTGATGAAGAGGGCTCTGGGTCCTCTTCCTCTGGTTCTGAATCACTGGAAGCTGAACCAGACTCCAGCAAGAAATTGCGGGTCTTTTTGACAGCTGTCGCCTCATCGCCCACCTCCTTGACAGAACTTGAGGATAGTAAAGGAGCAGAGAAAGAGAATACAAGTTAAAAGTTACAGTTAAAAGATACGTTAATAACCCATGTAATATTATTTACAATTATCTGACAATCCGTGTATAGTAAAAAGTGTTTTCTAAGTTAATATTTACCCATTCCCACCGGTGTTTACATCTCCATCGCTGTCAGATTCAGAGGACACTCCGTAACCAACCAGAGAGTTCATACTTTTACAATTAACTGAAGCTAAGCTCGTTAGCTTGTCAGCTTTGTTTCAAAATGAAAGCGAGCTAATGCTGCTAGATGACTACACTCTTATAGTAAAAGGATGAATTTATCAAAGTAATATAGCAGTAAATATCTAATCATTCCCATTTCCTATTCTTCAACATCTACGTTTCCACTAGTGTTAGCTATTAGCTTCCGTCATGTAGCCGCAGCTCAGTGTTTACATTCTAGCAGCCTGCACTGCCCCCTGCAGCACAGGCGTGGTAGTAGTGACGCCAATTTATTTACAGATCGCATTTAAAACAAGCGTTGATCGAAGTGCTTTGTAGAGAGATTCAGCATACTTTGTTTAGGTATTTCACGTACTGTCATTAGAGGTTCAGGTGTACACAATGTTTTCGGGAATTTCAAAAATCAACAAAATATGTAATTTGCCCGGGTTTGGCCAAAACCTTTTCATACAACTGTTTACTGAGATTAGTATAATCTAATCTAATCTAATATTTTTGCAGTGCATTGAGGAATATGTTTTGGCATATGTTTTGAGTAACTAGTTTCTTTTTTTGAATTGGAAAAATGAGTGAACAGTCTCCATATTTTGTTATGTAGCCTATTATCATATTCATCATAGAACATAAAAAGACAGTTTACTTGCATGTCATTCAAGAAACTGAAAATATACAGCGGCAAATTACAGTTTACAAATTTGCCTCATATATCATCATATGAGACCATATATCCTTACACTCGTAATATATTAATGACAAATATTTTGAATGTACAGACTCAGTTGTGATATGAATTCACGGCTCAAGTCAACATCCAAGTAAATGTAACACATTGCATATTCCCTGCCTCTTTTGTGACTGCTGTGTTTAAAGTTTTGTACAGTGTGGAATTCTATACTGCAAAACTATAAGATGCAAGATCACTCTGACTTCATTATTTCAAACAGCCTTTGCTAAATAATTGATTTAATGTTTGTATCTTGTATGTGCCTTACATGTTAGAAAACTTTTTACATGCGTTTGTTTTCTGCTCTAACTCAGTATTGTCATGTAGTGGAATTCCTAAACTTGCTTAGTCATAAAGTTATCATAATTTGTTTAGTTTCATGACAAAAATCCAAATTTGTCCAGAGAAGTATGTTGGCTTTTCAAACACAGGATAACATTCCTAATAGTCCAACATTTTTAGCAGCTGCACTTCTTTTACGTGAGCCTGTGTCACTTCCTGGCAGTCTAACTGGAACAAAGACATCATTAATGTCACCAGTTACACTTGTGCCTTTTCTGTCATTATATCTTTTATTTATTCATTAACTCTACATTAAATGCCATTGCAAGTTTCTTACCTGTGCTGTCTTGTCCTAAACCATTAACATAGAACACAGATAGTTATTTTAATCAAGAGAATATAATTGCCCTTAATTGGAAATTGCAGTAGGTTTACACTAAGGTGTGGTGCAGTATGAGTAAAAGTAAGGATTATCAGCAAAATCAAGCACTCATTCGGCAGAATGGAACCTATCAATTAAATGTATGTTGTATAGGCTTATATGCAAAGCCTCACAATAAGTACATTAATTAATTATATTATTGATGTTGTGTTATTATTGGATCATTATTAAGATGCAGCCTATTTGGGGATATGTAATATATTACAGTGTGTAATCTTTTATAAACCGTAGCATGAGATGGAAATATGTCTACTCAAGTAAAGCAGAAGTAGAAGTAAACCTACTTCAATTGTAAAAGTACAGTAGGCTACTGGGGTACTAAATTTAGCAGAGTTAGTTAGGCTACTTAGTTCACGCTTGTGGGACTTGCGGTTTAACTGTGGTGTACAGGCTACTTTTTATCATCAGGGAGGCAGATGAACATACGGAAACAGTCTGAAACAGTCCAGGCTACATCCTAGGCAAAGTCAGACTATCTTTGCTTTTGTCACAACCAGTAAATCAGATAAGCTCTTCAAGAATAAGTTGCTGAGCTCCTCCCTCCTCCCCACCGGGGCTCCCCGCCTCCGCTTGTCCCGTTAAATTCCTCCTGCCTGGCATCAGGTTCTCGGGGGAAAGGGCGGAGAGTTGGCCACCACGTCTGTAACATAAGCAGACAAGGTCGGACAAACTGGGAAACTCGTTTTACCGAAACCTTAGAGGAGAGCTACGCTCTGGCTCTAATTAAGGCAGCACTGACTGCGTTTCAGCAAAGGGGAACGGAAGGGCAGGCTGAAGTGAACCATGACCGGGAATCCGGTGTTGTCGGGATGAGGCAGGCGCACACGGGTGTATATTAGGGAACCGGCCTGTTGCTTTGCTGTTCCAAGTGCGCGTCTGGTGTGTCTTCCCGGCAGAGGCAACAGGAGGTCCAATGGCAGACAGACGGACTAGAGGCTCGGATCTGAGCAGAACCACGGCGGCCCGGGCTTCAGCTATAGCCGAGCAGCTGCACCACGAGTGCTCCATCTTACTGGAACTTTATGTGAGTAGAGGAGCTTATTTTTTCCACTGGCTGCAACCTGCCAGCAGATCACAGCATAATTTCAAAGTGTGTGTGTGTGTGTGTGTGTGTGTGTGTGTGTGTGTGTTTTTGAGAGAGAAACAGGGAGAGAAATAGGCCAAGGTTAAATGGAAAATTAATAGATTTTTGCATGGATGTGTGTGTGTGTGTGTGTGTGAGTGTGTGTGTGAGAGTGTGTGTGTGTGTGTGTGTGTGTGTGTGTCATGAGTGTGTGTGTCATGAGTGTGTGTGTCATGAGTGCCCCCTGTGCATGGCTGTAACATACTGCGTGTGTATGCATGTGAGTGTGTGTTTGAAAGTTATACATGGACAAAGTGTGTGTGTGGGAGAGTGAGAGAAAGTAAGAGAAAGAAGAAAGGGATATGTGCAAAAGCAAGATAAGAGGGAGGGAGAGTGTGTGTATGTGTGTGAAAGAGAAGGAAATGATGTCTAGGACAGCAGGGGGTAGGAATGCAGAGAGGTGGTGGTGGGGGGCTGGTGAACTCAGTTGGAATGACTGGAATCAATGGTGGGCGTTTTTCTGGCACAAGCTCATCAATGCCTGGGCACGAAGCCTTCATCTCTTTTCCACAAGCCTGTGTCTCTTTGCCTATAGGTGCGAGAGGTACCGGTTATTAAAGCGTCTTGGTTTCCTGCCAATTCACTGCCTCATCCTTCCTTTCACGTGTCTCGCTAGGAGCAAGGGAGTAACCTGTCATATAACTTCGTCCACTTATTTTGCAGGATTTTGACCCTTCCTTCCTCTATCCGACATGTCTTCATCAATTTCCTGCCAACACAGTTTTGCAAACTTATCACTGACTTTGTGGGCATAGCGTTGCTTCTTGGGAAATGTTGCTGCTTTAAACCTGGAGCGACAGCAACAGATACATTCCAGTGCACACAACATGAAGTGGTTAGATATGTCTTAGCATGTCTTACAGAAAAGTATCTACAAATATGCCTCCTGTGTTTTCTCATCTTGGCTGGAAGGAATTGTCTCTCAAACAGGATTTATGTTCAGTCTCAAATGAATCAAAGGCAAATTGCATATTGTATAGACAGAGTATTATTTTTTCTGTCCCTTGTCTATTTGTTGGGTGGCAAAACACCCATTTACAACGTCCATTTGATGGCTCTTAAACAATTTTCAGAGCTTACCACTCAATTTCAATTCACAATGACCCATGAGTATATTGTTTTTGGCTACACTATTGCTTCCTGGGGTATTCGTAATTGCCTGAATCACGTTTCCTCTGCAGCCTGAACAGTAAACATTAACTCCCCTCCAGACTCTCAGGGCATACAGGTCACATTAGGCCACTCTGTCACTCTGGTACCAACTTGCAAGCAGGGCTGAACATTAACACCTCAGTATAATGTCATAAGGAGGCCTCTGAGATTCACAACTCACTCAAGTACTAAGTCTGATGCCAGCTACAGTCATGCCCATGAAGTGACCTGACAACTTCATCGACCAGATCATAATGTGAGATTTTTCATCATTTATTTCTGAAAGTACAGAGGTGCTGCCTTTGTTGAATCCTGTTTATCAAAAGTAGATATACAGTATGGATTTTATATGACTTTTACAGGCATTGTCAACATTTTGGGAAATAGAATAATTCATGTTCATGCTGAAGGTTAGATGAGAAGATTGATACCACTCTCTTACCATGTATGGTACACATGAAGCTACAGGCAGCAGCTGGCTCTGTTTAATGGTAGCAAAATCTGCCCACCAGCACCTCCAACGCTCAATAGTTAACACAGTATATTTTGTTTGTTTAATTCATCAGTTAGCCTGGCTAGCTGTTTCCCCCTGTATGCTAAGCTAAGCTAATCGCCTGCTGGCTGTAGCTTCATATTCATCATACAGACACGAAACTATATTGTTAATGTCAACATACAGTATGTATTAAGGTTTTTCATCAGTATTGCATGACATTGCATGCATTTCACCTTATAAAGTAGTCTTTTTTTCCTTGCTTCAGTTATTTTAATGAGCTCACTTAACCTTTAACTTGTTGACTTAAGAAGTCCTTACTGGAATCAGGCTGAGCACAAAGTCCTCCTTAAAGAAAAGACCTTTTACTCTGATGGATATGTTTTATTCTGAGAACCATTGCTAACAAACCTGAACAAATTCCTATCACATTAGGAGAAAATCCCTGTTGCCTCATACACAGTGATCTTCAGTATTGTGCCAAATTGCTGTCAAAAGTGACGTCAGAGTGGTTAGTGCTTGACAGAAAGCAGTCTTCAATCCTCCACTCAGGCACTTCACTTTCCAACTCATCCTCCTCTTCCTTGTTCATCATGAATACTTTCCCAAATCTCACTTCTGTTCTTAATTTTCACCCTCTTTGCTCTCTCTCTCCACCTCAAGAGAAAGAAGGAGAGTTTCACTGCAGATGTTACAGTGGCTGATGGTCGCCTGGTGTCCGTCCCTCCTCCTTCCTCCCAGCTGGACACCAGGGACAAGCTCTGGCGCCTCCACTCAGCTCTGCTACAGTGCCGCAGCTTGTTGGAGAGAGCCATCGCCAAAGAGGAGGAGGAGCTGGGCGGTGGGAAGAAGGGTGACTATGAGACCCAGAGAAAGATGGTGAAGGAAAGACTCTCGCTTCTCTTAATCAACACTGGAGAACTCCTCAAAGCTGTAGACGGCACAGCAGTCCTGACTCCCAATT